AATGAATAGAAATAACTGAAAACTTATACCATCGCTCCTGTAATATAGCAACAGCAAGGCCAAATACAATAACACCAAGAATAATCATGATAACAGAGAGTGTGAATCTGTTGAACCAGAGACTGCATAAGACTGCGAGATACTTCCTCTATTTTGTATTCTTTTACCCTGTTGGATCGCAACTATAAGAGAAACAATGCCAAAAACAGCAGTACCAGCTATTTCGAATGTTATCGGCATATACCATCGAGGTTGATTGTATTCTCTACCAAATAAAATAAGAAATAGCCTGGTAATATTAGCTGGAGATAAAACGACTCCAACAACACCAAGGGAAAGTAAAGCCGAGGCCTAATGAACGAAGAAAAATTGCTTAAATGAACTTCGAAAAAGTATCCTTTTTAAATGTAAATTATATCTTGTAGCCCTTCTACAGTAAACAAAATAAGAAGCTATATTATCATCCAAGCTAGCAATGCTTAAGAATATTTCTACTCTTTACACATAGGTTTCCCATACATTTATGTAAGCAAGGTGTAGATACAAACGAGCACTCATCGCACGGCAATACTTAAAATAGGTTTTTACTCTTTACGTTTAGGCTTTGCCAGATATTAAAGTAAACAAGATTTAGAGAGAAGCAGGCATTCATCGCCATTGTTTCTCAACATTACTGAACACGATTTGGCAGAAACCAAAGTTTTTTCTAGGTACAGTGTATCATAATATACCTCGGTCTGAGTAGGGGAGTCCGAATCCTTAACTTTGAAAAGAACTGCAGCAAGAACAACGGCCTGCGAAAACAGCATTGAAATAAAATTTAAATTTTATGCAAGGTTACAAAGAAAAATCTTTTTATGGAATAGTGCTTCTGTGTAAATTCGCTAATTTCTGCTATGGACTCTAAAATTATGATAATAGCAAAAAGGTATCGATATAAACATGAACGACTAAAGTAAAAAATACGAAAATGCTCTTTTCATCCAATTCCTTATAGAATAGATCGCAAAAGTGTCTCTAAATAAAACTATTGTTGATATTCTATTATATAATTTCACTACATACCAAGACTGCCGACCATGTTGGGTCAAAAATGACTGGACCTGCTCTTATGTTTATCAAGTAAGGAGTCAAAAAAATGGTAGCAAGCGCAGATGCAATGATAGCTATCGCCGAGATTATCAAAATAGCGCCTAATGTCTGTCCACGGATCATCTATAAAGCGATCAAATAGTGGAATAAAAGTTATTAGCTCTAATAATACAGTATAAGGAAACATAGCTGAGTCAATTAACTTATAAGAAAAATTTTAATTTTTATATTTAAATTCTCAATCCAATGCTAAGATTAGACTTACGCTTTAGAATTGGAAAGATGAAGCAAAGGTGAAAAAAAGTATTCTATAACTTGACCTGATTCTACAATCCTCTGTAAGGGCCTGTTTCAAGCTGAAATGTTTTAATTTGAATATCCGTATTGGACATGGATATAGCTTTATATGCACTTGGACTAGCAATTTAATGACATCATAGTTTAACAGGAAGGATGTTTCTGTTGTTTACCTATTAATATTAGAGAGGATAGCCAGCTCTATCAAGTTTTACCAGAATCTCGTCGTTCTAAAGTGAATAGTTGCATGATTTGCATGAGAATAGAGCTCATACAACACTCTTTTCTTGATTAACCATGCCCTTGCTATATACCGTATGAAGATAGCAACCGGTCTAGCCTACTTTCAATGGATTGCACGTTTATTCTTGGATGCTATTCTTTGCAGTATTTACTTCTAAATAAGGTAAAGTCTATTCTTAGTAGAAGTTAATATCCACTAGATTGTAACATAACTCCTTATTGTTATAATATATTTTTAACTGTTCTTCTTACGTCATAAAAGCTACCTTCATGTATCTATCTCATTAGTTAGTTCTGTTAGTAGACGGTAAGCCTGCACATTTCACCTATTCTACTTTACTATAGCTATTCAATTAGTAACGTTGTATTCATGATGTAACTTCACACTGTTATCCACTTTACATTAGCTCAATAAAGACACACAAAGATTTTATAGGCTATTGTGAGGTCATAGTAATTGACAAGACTATTTTATTCAGTTTCGATAGAACCTGATCCAGGCAGATTGTGCGGGTTTGCTGGTATTCCTAAACTAAATTAAGCTATTTACCGAGGATTTCTATTAGTTTGTTTCTAAGGAGGCTAGCTCATGCCTGAAATGGCCTTAGTAAACTTCACCACAGCATTCGTCTGCACCTCGAACACAAGATAATTGTGAACGATGATTTTCCTATCGTGATAATTCTGACATTCACATTTTAGTGTACATTTTTCGAATTACAGGCACTACATGTGGCAGCATGCTATACTGTGTCGACCGTTAAGGTTACGTCATAATTTTTTATATCTTTGCAGATTGATAAGGGTAAGTCTATGCTATGTATAATGCTTACGAGTAATAGCCAGTGAATGCAGGTATTACTCCATCAGAATAATAGTAACAAATTAATATTGTGATAATTATAAAGGATAATATATTTTGCAGGTTGTTTGAATTAATCGAATTTTAATTGCCCACAATGATTAATACTCAGTGCCGATTAGCATTGTTCGGAATGGGCAGAGAAACTATAGCCATTAATGGAACTAATTATTCGTGCTTAAAATAAGCAATATTTCACAAGATATCCAGCAATATAATATAGTGCGGTACAAAATTACATTTTCTGCTATCGATAGTACTTGAACTTTCTATTTTAGTATGGGCTATCGGTAGTACTGGCTATATTCTGTTCTTAATGTGCAATATTCTTGTAGGAAAACTAGACTACGCTGAGCCCTGAGTAAATAAGATAGTAGATTAGCGGTGTTAGTGGCACTCTATCTGGTGTAATAGGCGTAGCGGATTATTAGTTGATAATACTAGGGATGTTAGTCGTACGGTTATGTGGGACTACTTGGCGCCTTGATAGGTGGTACCGACACGTCTCAGTAGATGTCGTATGATTGGCCCAAAGTGAGGGATGACAATTATACGTAGCTTGGGGTTTTGTACTCGCAAGGCCATATTGAATGTAAATTAGATTTAGGAATAGTATAAGAAGCAAAAATAAACTGACTGATATATTACAAT